GGTCGCGTGACTTTTAAAAGAGTCAGATCATCGAATTCAAATAATTTATCGATTAACTATTTTTACTAGATTATACTTGTTTAATTATTTATTTAAGAGTGCCAAAAGAAAAGAATGCACGAATAAAATAATAAAATTACTTACAATGGTTGGAAAATTCCAGGATTGCAGCATGCAATGAATCTCATATATCATATTCTTGGCTTAGAACTAATTTTAGTTGTCAAGTAACTGATTTATAGGGTTAATTGTATTAGTCGGGTTACACACCTCTCGTCGCCTATTTCAGTTAGCTATCTAACTACATCGTTGAGCGGGGATAAATAGACTAACTGACGAGCATTTATATTTCATCCTACCCGGGAGTCACTCTTGAATACTAATCACCTCAATCAAATGGGTCGATCGAGCTCTCTATATTCTTTGGTCTATCTAATCCCTCCTCTCTCGATTTTAAGATTAGACAATATATTTATTTCTAGATGGCCAGTCAAGAAATACTAAAACAAGAATATAGAAGTAACTTATAATGACAACCAAAAATTAATTTAAAAAGCCTTAAATAATCAACAATCAATTCGTAGTTATAGCTCCATAACTAGGGCGTACTAATCTCTAAGAAAACAAAAAGAGGAAAAGAAACCTAAAAAGTATTGACGATTTTCTACTTGATGCCCTCTAATTGATCTCCTCCTATAATTAATGTCTTCCAATAATTATTTTTATGGACTATTTATAAATATAAAAAATCTTAAATAAAATAATTGAGTCCAAAACATTGGAAACCAAATCCAAGCGGAATAAGAATTCCTTTACGCGTGAAACACTGTAGCCGCCGCCGCTTGCACTCTTATCTTCCATTGTGGCCACGTGGCAATATTTCCTTTTGCAGTTCGCAATATGCACCTTATATATTTATATATATTATTATATTCAATTTAATCCATTAAGCGTCTGTTTGATTTTCTTCTTCAATCTTTCATCTTAAATTCGTTTTAACTCCAAACTTCTTCAATTTTACATCAATTTACTCCTACAAATAAAATACACTATTTAGCACAATTCATAAAATTTATGCTCAAAAAGGATAAATATAAATAATAAATGAGAGGTAAATAATGATTAAAATATATATTTTTGACCTCACATCAACACCTCACATTTAAACTTTTGCTCGTCCTCGAGCAAGCATTAAAGCTCATCTCAATTGAACATTTCTATAAATTGTTATCGTTATTAAAATAATACAATACTATACAACAAATATAAAAACTATTTCTAAAGCTGAATAGTAGAAATACTTTTGTGATATATTGTCCTTCTAGGTAGTTGTCTCATTTATAATCAGAAAAGAATTAACCAATGAGGTGAGAATTCTTTAAGACGTACAAGAGAAAATATCTCATTTCTTCCATCGATTGACGATTGAACAAAAGATGTCAATGTTTCCTCCTTGGACTACAAATCTATTATAATTTTTTTTTTGATGGAATTTTAAGTTATATACACTATATATACGTGCTATATTTTCGTACAGGTAATAAAAGACCTCCACTTCATTTTCCTTCTCTGAACTCCTCGGATTCGTGAACTTTCCTACTCACAACAAACCATTTGTTTCTGCATTTCAAATCCACCCGCCGTCAATTTATAATTACTCAAAATTCACTATTACTACAACAAAAGCAGCTCTCAGTGGCAATAAATATGCACATCAACAAAGAATGCTAAACCCTTTACCGGTGTTAGTTAATTGTCACTGGTTTCAATGTCGCTATAGGCTTTAGCAACATTTACAAAGAGTGCTAGTTACCTCTAAAAGAACAAATTTAACGGCAATTAAGCTATTACTATTAGTTAATTGCCGATAAAGATAATTTTTAGTGTAGTGTACACACCAGCTACTCGTATCAAACCCCACACACTAACCGCTCGCAAATTTTTCCACCCGCACTCACCACCCAAAATCCACCTACACATAAAATATTCACTACTAGAAAATAAGAAATTAACGACAGACAAAATTCTGTAAGCTAAATAACAAAAAAATCCCATACTTATTTCATTTAGCTACGAGATCAGAGACATTATAAGAAAATCAGATTTATTAAAACCTATTTAACTACAAATTAGCTAGGGATTACCAACAAATTCGATAGTTAATTTCATGTTTTCTTGTAGTGTGATTACTACCAATCACTTTCCATGTCCCCACACTTGTAGTAACCCTACCCCCACTCTTACTGAAAATCCTGAGCTTGATCAAAGAAAGGAAATGTTGTTTTGTGTGGAGAGGCTATCAAATGCTCCTGATATTATTGATTCTTTCTAGACACAATTTGAACACAAGAAACTTGTGAAATTGGACCAAAGAGCTAATATTCTTTATTTCCCCATATGTACATCTCAATTAAAAAAAGGTACCTTTTCTGCCATTAGGAATATCCATTAATATTATATAGAATTGTAGTTGTTCAACATAAAAATAAGAGAGACAAAATTTTTACTAAGAGTATCATAATGTAAAAATGAAGAAGAGACACACATAAAGAAATCGGGATATATATATATACATAAAATTAATATCATAACCTAGTTAAACAATGTAATTTTATGGTGAAGGGGTGTCTTGACACCCCTTACCATAAGGTGGCTAGGACACTGGTCCACAAAGAGTTTTTCTTTTTTTTGGAGAGGTCGTAGATGTAAGTTGAAGAAAAATTGGGAAAGGTGATTAGGTAGATATGATATATTTTCAATTTATTGAGGGTGTGATCTAGATAAAAAGATATAAAGGTTGGAAATTAATGTAGAAGAGTAGTAGCCTAGTAGGTGACTGATTGGGTGCTAGACTCCTCTTCTCATCTTCTCCTAATCTTGTAGTATTATTTAGTATTCACATAATATCTTATTCTTTAATTTGTATTATTATTACTTGTTGCTTAATTTGTTTTGTTTATCCGTGCTAATTTGTTGTTGCTATTTTCCTTTCATTCATGCTTTGATTTTTACTTCTTTTGAGTTGAGGGTTTATCGAAAAAACCTCTCTACTCCACAAAGATAGAAGTATGGTATGTATATATTCTACCCACTCACTCGTGAGATTTCACCGATTTGTTATTATTATTATAAATGTAGTAGAAAAACAAATTCTAATCTCACATCGAAGACAATTCAATAATTTCCTTAGGTCAACGGTTTGTATGTCAAATATAACAGACTTCAATTTTTATTTAATTTTTAAATAAAATTTCTAATTTCGCCACTAAACAAATTTAAGAGCTCCCGGCCTCTCTAGAGCTGGCCTTCCTTGTAATTTTTAACCTTCATTATTATTAATTAAAAGTCCCAGTAAATAAAGGAAAAATTTCCATCACTTTTTCCAATTGGAATATAGAGATTCTTTTAAGGAATGCGTGGTGACAAAAATGTCATATAAGCATCCTATTTTCTTCTGTGACTAAAGCCTCAAATAACTACATTCATGTATACTTAAACTCACAAGTTAAGGGCATTTTTGACATATCTTTATTTTCTTTATCAAACTCCATATATATATTTATTCATCAAAAATGATAGTCTGATGCATAAATCATCCACGTTTACACTATAATTAAGATTTGAGAAAGAATCCAATCCCCAAATATACAACGTAAATAGTATATTTTAATGTAAATATTAGTGTTATCTATTGAAGTACAATTTAACGTAAAAAATATATTTCCATGTGGTTTATTATAGCGGTTCGATAACGTTATGATTATAGTGATCCTCCTATTTAAAAAACTTTGAACGATTAATAAAGCAAATGAATAATAATAATAATAATAATAATATGGATTAGGAAAATATCTATGTACAATATAATTTATGTCAAAAATATTGGGCTCAGTTGATCCGTCAAAATCTTTACTTGATTCTCCTCTTTACAGCTCAACAATTAGGATATATGGTTTCCCCTTAAAGAAAAACTTCAAAAAGATATAGATTCCTATGATGGTAAAGAAATCTTTGGCCATAGAAATCAAATATTTTTCATTTTGTTTGAAGATTTTCAAATCTAAATTTTTCACTTTATATGGTTGCCATTTCTTTGATCACTGAGGGTAGGGGTGTGCATTCGATTTTTCGGTTTGATTTTGTACTATTCGGTTTTAATTTTTCGGTTTTTGATTTTGTAAAAGTGTAACCCAATCCGATCCAAAATAAATTTGGTTTGGTTTGGTTTTCCTCTATTCGGTTCGGCTTTTTTCGATTTGGTTATTCGGTTATGTCAATAATTAAAAACATAACCAAAGTAATAATAGTTAATCCCTTAAATATACTTTCTAATAGTAGAAATCATAAGTAAAACTTAAAACACAATACTTATAAGTATATCTATTATAGATGTAATTCAAACATAAAATATAAACGTAATCATCATGAAAGGCAATAACCAAAAAGGGACAAAAGTGGTTAATATAATTCGGTTTTTTTTGGTTTTTATTTTTTAAAACCCGAAACCAAACCAAAAAATCAAACAAAGTAATTTATTAATCCAAAACCAAACCAAAAAACCAATCCAAATAAAAATTCGGTTTGATTTGGTTTGGTTATTCGGTTTAATCCGAATGCACACCCCTAACTGAGGGTCTATCGGAAACAATATTGCAAAGATAGGTGTAAGTTCTACGTATATCTTACCCTCTCCAAATTTCAGTAGTAGAATTACACTAAGTATACATATTGTTGTTATTATTGTTTGAGTTGAAGATGAAGTTTTGTTTGATTAAACTTTTTCCGAAGGAGAGAAAGACATTTTATTTGGAATTATAAATATAGAGTTGGGAAACATGCTATAAATTCGGAATCCAACTTACAAGTGGAATTTGAAAGTTTCACGACCAGTCAACCACTGATTCTCAAATAAAGTAAAAAATTATTCCAAAAACAAATAAATATATATTTTTTATGACCAAATGTGTCCTCAAGAGCATATGAAAGCTCTTTACTCATGATGAGTATAAATAACAAGAGCTAGCTAGCTTCTCTACTCATAAAATATCATCCATCTTATGCAATAAACAAAAATTGAGCTTATTATAATTGAGAAAAAAATATGCCAAGAGATCCTCTAATAGTTTCTGGAGTTGTTGGAGATGTTGTTGATCCATTCACAAGGTGTGTAGACTTTGGTGTGGTTTACAACAATAGGGTGGTCTACAATGGATGTGCCTTGAGGCCTTCACAAGTTGTCAATCAACCTAGGGTTGACATTGGTGGAGATGATCTTCGCATTTTTTACACTCTGGTACACTCATAATTCTATTTTATATGATATATATATATTTTTTTTTTTTTCTATATAATACATTTTAATATCTCTAGCTGATTAGAATTGTTTAAGCAATTCACGTAATTGTTGACCTTTTGTCAATTAACTATGAATAGAAGATCAAAAGCGCAATATGTGCAAAGGCTTCTAATTATGTGAATTTATGCAAGTTCTAATTTTAATTCACAAGCTAAGTACTTGTTTTATAGTTTTTATTTGAATTTGAGAACTCATAACATACTATTTATAATAATAACAAATGTTATAACATGTATGTTTAATATTGCAAGCTTGAAGATATACTATATTTTTAAAGTACTATAGGTCTAATCAAACAATGTTTATACTCAATGGTGTCTAGGTTATTTCATTTTTTATTTTCCTAATTTTGAATTTCAAGATATTTGAAACGTTCTTCTCTTTTTGAAAGATTATGGTGGATCCTGATGCTCCAAACCCTAGCAATCCAAACCTGAGGGAATATTTGCACTGGTAAGTCGTTTAGCTTATAAATATTCATTTTGTTCCTTATATATAGTTCTTCCTCTAGAGGACGACGTTAATGAAACAACTATTATATACTTCTTATTTCTCTCAAATCAATCGTCAATAGAGAAGACAAAATGTGTGTGAGCTTATATAAGAACTAAGGAAAGTGTTATTTCATAAAAATGATACTTTCTGATGCACAAATTAATCAAATTTCAAATAAGTACCAAATATTGGATGCAAACATAAAAAAGAACTAGGATCGATGACAAATAATTTATATTTAACGAAAAATATTTTATCAATCCCCCTCCCCCACATTCCCCCTCCAAACATTTTTTTTTAATATATAATAATGTTTAATACATTTTTTTTTTGTTAGGCTGGTCACAGATATCCCAGCAACCACAGGGGCAACCTTTGGTAAGTGTTCTTACATTATTACCTAATGGCTCACAGTAGTGACAGAGCAAGAAATTTAAATATATATGATATTCACGCTACATTGTATCCATGTCACTACATTTTCAATGTAAGACGCTTAGTAATATACTAGATACATGACTCAGTGCCAGCATGAGACTCAATATATGTTATTTTTTTTTAAATTTATGTGGTAATCCGTTCGCTTCATATTAATTGATTACTTTTTATTTTGCACGGTACTGAAGAAATTATAAGTAAGAAAATAACTTTACTAATTCAACCCTTAAAAAACTGTATGAGAATTTTACAAATAAATGTGACACTTTCAAAAGGAATTAATGACAAGGGTAATATAGGAAAATTTTAAATAATGTTTTGTTGATTTAGTAAGGTGGTCAACTAGTATGAGACAACTATTTTAGAATAATAGTCAATTAATATGGGACGGAGAGGGTATCATAGAACTTGAAAAGTTAGCCAAATTTTTATATGATTTTAAAAAGATTTTAAGTTGTTAGTACTTTTTATATAATTTTAAAAATAATATATATTACTCTCTTTGTTTCAATTTATGTGGCATATATAGAATTTCAAAAATCAACCATTTTTTTTATGTCTTTTAAATATACTAATTATTAAATATCGTACTTTATAGAATCTTTTTAGCGTAATTTATATTTCATATATGTTACTTCTCCTGTCCCAATTTATGTAGCACTAATAGATTTTTTTTAGAATCAAGTGATATTTTATATTTTAAATTGTTAATTTTGTGATTTATAAATTGGTACCAATTGAATTTCGAGAGCCAATTTTTTTTTTTGTATAACTTTTAAATATTTAAGTTGTTAATTAATGTGATTTATAGTGTTATTTATATTTTTACAATTTTCAGATATATAACAAACTTAAAAAAAGACTTAATTTTTCAATATTTGATAAACAAATAAAGTAATTAACATTTTAAGAAATGATTTTGCCATAAAAAATAAAATGAAAGAAGTTATGAGGTAGAAATAAAGAGAAGGAAATAAAGTTGCTATTCAAAATATGAAGTGGGACCTATATAATATGCATTAATATATAGAGGGAAAGTGGAGAAAAGAATGGCCCACATGCATGGAAATTAGGCAATTTTTGTGGTTGAGAAGCAAAATGCAGAAGGGCTTTTACGTTCCAAATTTAAAAAGTACAATTACAAAATTGCTAAGTACAAAATTATTTAAGCATTAACATTAGAAAAGTATTAAAAATCGACAATATTACCCTTGGCTAGGGAAGCAAGTATGTCAACGAACAACCGCTTCCATAGCCTCTTATGTATAGTAGTAATAATAATAAAATACAACTTGTATCATCATCAAAAATCATCCCAACTCCCAAACTCCGCCCCCACCCCATCACCATCAAAATTCACTATTGCTCACACTGTGTATTTGAATCACTGCTTCTCTCTTATTAACATAAGCGAGTCTATCATTATCCTAGATTAATCCATAGCATTTCATCGAAATATATCTCTGTCTTTTCACCTTAGTGGTAGTACTCTCATACATTGTTAGTACTATAGGCTCATTTATGACTACTAAAAAAAGAGAGACTAGAAACATAAAATCAAACAAAATAGTATGCATATAAAATAAATTACCCGTCTAATGTTTCTAAATTAGTCCAAATTTTATATTTCATGATTGAAATAAAGAAATTACGCATATTAAATGTATTTGCTACTAAACTCAAACTCTCGTTATATACAGGCAATGAAGTTGTACACTACGAGAGCCCACGACCCTCGATGGGAATCCATCGTTATATTTTCGTGTTGTTCCAGCAATTGGGCCGCGAGGCCATCAATGCGCCGGACATAATCGATTCTCGTCAAAATTTCAATACAAGAGACTTTGCAAGGTTTCACAATCTAGGTTTGCCTGTTGCTGCTGTTTACTTCAATTGCAATAGGGAAGGTGGTACCGGTGATCGTCGCCTATAAATCACCCCCCGCCTTGGGGTGCAGTCCGTTCTCGAACTCTGTGTCAATGTCAGATGTTTTGTGTACCGAATTTTCCTTTTCTAATATTATTATTACTATATATAGATAGTATATATGAGTTGATTTTGTGTGATAGTCATTCAACTAATTGTTTATTAACTCAGAAAGTCATCTTTCTTTTGTTGAAGAAAATTGAAATTATGAGATAGTAACTATTATAGTTGAGTGATCATCTGAAAGAATCAACTGTAATATATACTATATATATATATATATATATATATATATATACCCAAAAAATAAAGTCTTGTTTGTTAGTATATATATCTATATATATGTGTTTTATATTTTATTACTGAATTTTAATTTGTATGTATACGAATCTACATGTAAAAGTGTAGATATATTTATTATATCTATTTGATAAAGTTTGGGTTTATTATTATAGAATTATTATAATTCAATTTTTTGCGTTGTATATTAGGCATCTATTTAATTTTCTCCTTTGTCAATTTAAAGGCTTAAATTAATGTTTTTAGGAGGTTTTTATGAGACTTTAGAGGTTATGTATCTCAAAAAGAGGCAAATCCAAAAACAAACGAATATTAAATTTTTTGCGTTGAGAGTCTTTCGGAAAGAGCTTCTCTAGGTGTAAGATATTGTGAATCAAACCAACTATATGAGGACTTATGAGTTAAAAATGGTGAATGAGACTGATTCAGTTTTAACTATTGGGTTGAGTAAAATATTAAAGAGTTTTTATTTGGGATTCAAACCTAATTACCATTTGTTAAAAAAGAGTAGGAGTTAGAAAGAACGATTATGCAAATTGTTATGGAGTATATGTATTTCCTTATTCCTTTTCTCTAAGTTCTAGTTCTCATCTCTCTTTTCTATCTGTGTTCTTCAATTTCCCTTTTGATTTTAAAATTCTTTTGTAATTCCAATTACGAGTTAGTAAAATATATCTATTTATCGTTTGAGTTTAATTTGCATTGATCTAGTTATTAAGTTTATTTCATAAGATTAACATACATTCTACTTTCTCTATAGATCATATGCGAAATTTCACCGAATGTATTGTTGTTGTTGAAAATAATATCAAATTACAAGATACATATTCACAAGCCTAATAATTTCATTTTTATGTTTTTTGGTTTCCGCCGGATGTTTTAATATGATTTTTTTTAATTCTAAAGACTCGAAATCGAGATATTTGATTAAGGATGCAGAGAAATCTCAACCATTCCATCACAATTCAGGTTGATCCTAATCATTTAAGTTGTTAGATCATCAATTTAACTATTTATGGAGCCCTTTAATTTATTCCGAAAAATATATATTAGATGTACATTCTAGATCGAACTAGACAACGAGGATTTCCAAAGTAATTTGAGATGAAAAGTGTTAAGTTCATCTTGTCTTATATACTCACCTATCCTAATTTACGTGACACATATTTTTCTTTTTAGTTGGTTTTAAAAAAAAGTACATTTTTATATTTGGTATCAATTTAACTTTAAAATACACATTTATCTTTAATGAGATAATTTATAGTCACAAAAATATCTATGACATATTTTAGATCATAATTTTTTTTAAAATCTTTCTTAAACTCCGTAGCGAATCAAACAACAATTACATATTCAGTGAAATCTTACAAAGTGAGGTAATTTGGAGAAGGTAGAGTGTACACAATCCTTATCAATACCTTGCTAAGTTAGAGAGGTTGTTCTCGAAAGACCCTTAACCCAAGCAAATCAAAACAATAATTAAAATAAAAATGATAGTGGAGAGAAACATGTCAACTAATAGCAAATCAATGCAGAATATACATACAAAGAAACCGTAACAACAAGGTACGATCACCTAAGCACAACAAACCATAGATAATCCGTATTGAATCAAACAACATCACTTAAATTATGACAATGAAAATAACTAAAATATTTATACAAAGAAACCGTAACAACAACAAAAACAAGGTATGATTACCTAAACACTATAAATCATAGATGATCTGTGTCGAATCAAACAACATGATCACTTAGATTAACACGATGAAAATAACTAAAATATATATACAAAGAAATTGTAATAACAACAACAACAAGGTATAATCACATAAACACAATAAACCATAAATGATCCGAATCGAATCAAACAACATCACTTAAATTAAGACGATGAAAAAATAACTAAAATATATCACTACTAAAAAACTGTCAAAAATTAAAGAGACGGAAAAAAGCGACGGACTGCGTCGCTTTTTTGGCCAAAAGCGACGCAATCAATCTCGTCGCTTTTTGGCTCGACGCTTTTCCAAAAGCGACGGACTGCGTCACTTTTTCTTTTTTTTTTTGAAGAATGCTACGCTGTCTGTTGCTTTTTTTTTTTTGTAATTTTAAAAAAGAGACGAAGTCCGTCGCTTTAATTAATTTTATTTTTTAGAATCTTGTAAAGCGACGGACAATGAGATGCCGTCCGTCGCTTTTTTGGAAATAAAAATTTGAAAAATCCAGAAAAGCGATGAACTAAAGGACCCTGTCCGTCGTTTTTTTGGGTTTCAAAAAAATAAAATAAAAAAAAGCGACGGACAAAACCACCCTGTCCGTCGCTTTTTCTGCAATATTTTTTGCTGCCCACCTGCAAAAGGAATTCAATTCAATTCAATTCAGCCCCAATCAAACACAAAACATTATAAAGAAGCTACACAAAATATATAACAACAAACTTAAATTAACATTCAAAAATATTTAAATCACAATTTAAAGACTTATAAAGTCTTTCAAAATTACAAAAAAATCGTTTCAAAATTACAAATAGTTCATAAAGACTATATTTTATCAAGATTTCTAAAGTTCAACATAATAATTAGTTCATAAATTCTATAAATCAAGATTAACTTAAAGTTCTAATATTCTACAATAATTCAAGATTTCTAAAGTTCACAACTTAAAGTTCTAAAATGCTACAAAAATTCAAGTTTTCTAAAATTCATAACTTAAAGTTCTAATATTCTACAATAATTCAAGATTTCTAAAGTTTACAACCTAAAGTTCTAAAATCCCACAATAATTCAGGTTATCTAAAGTTCACAACTTAAAGTTCTAAAATCCTACAAAAATTCAAGTTTTCTAAAATTCATAACTTAAAGTTCTAAAATTCTACAATAATTCAAGATTTCTAACGTTTCACAACCTAAAGTTCTAAAATCCTACAAAAATTCAAGTTCTCTAAAGTTCACAACTTAAAGTTCTAAATCCTACAATAATTCAAGATTTCTAACGTTAACAATCTTATAAAGAAAAATCCTACAATAATTCAAGATTTCTAAAGTTCACAACCTAATTAAAGTTCTAAAATCCTACAAAAATCAAGTTCTCTAAGGTTCACAACTTAAAGTTCTAAATTCTACAATAATTCAAGATTCTTAACGTTCACAACCTTATAAAGTTCTAAAATCCTACAAAAATTCAAGTTCATGTCTAATTTCTAAAATTTGTTCTATATAAACTTCAAATTCAATAATTCCTAAGTTCAAGAATTCAAGTAACCTAATTTCAACTTTCGTATACTAATCCAATATTTTTCTAACTTTAAAGTAATCTAAGTTTCATGTACAATCTAGTATTTTTCTAACTTCAACTTTCAAACTTACTAAATTCAAGTACTTCTAAGTTGAAAAATTCAACTAATCTAATTTCAACTTTCATAAACTATCCCATATTTTTCTAACTTCAAAGTAATCTAACTTTCATATACAATTGAATGTTTTTCTAACTTCAACCGTCAAACATACTAAATTCAAGAATTTCAAAGTTGGAAAATGCAACTAATCTAACTTCTAACTTCTAATTATTTGTTAGTTTTAACTTCTAATACTCAATTCACAATCATATTAAAATAAACTCCAATTTAGAAGAAAACCCTAAAATAAAAAATTCCCAATTCTCTACCTAACTAACAATAATCAAATATACAAATTAACAATTGAATAAGACAATTCATCAAACTAAAACAATATACTAATTTATAACAAATCAAATATTACTAAAATTGAAAAAAATTAAAATTAAACCCTAACCTTAACAAGCTAAGGAAAAGAGGCAGTGGGGACGACGGGTGGCGGCGCCGACGGGGCAAAGCAGCGACGGGACTAATGCTCAAGGAGAGAAGGGCAAAGGCGCAACAATTTGGTTTTAGAGAGAAGGGAGAGAAAGAGAGATGAGAAAATGGGAGGAAAACCCGCTTTTTGGTTCAACATAATTTAAAAAAAGCGACAGATAGCGTCTTTTTGTCCGTCGCTTTTTAAAAAATATTTGACCAAAATTTTGACTAAAAAGTGATGGACTAAGAGACATTGTCCGTCGCTTTTTAAAAATATTTGACCAAAAAGCGACGGACTAAGAGATGCCGTCTGTAGCTTTTTTAAAAAACTAATTAATAAAATAAAATAAAATAAATTAAAAATGACGACAACGTGGTTATTGTTTAATTTATAAATAATTATTTTTATTAAAAAGTGACGGATGGTATCTCTATATAAATTAAATAAATAATTATTAATTATATATATATTTAGCGCAAAAATCCGCAAAAAAAAGCGACGGACTTTTGTAAAATAATTTTAAAAATAATTATTTTTATTAAAAAGCGACAGACAGTGTGGCAAATGACGTCGCTTTTTGGAGCGACGCAGTCCGTTGCTTTTCTATCCCTCGTTTTTTGGCAGTTTTTAGTAGTGCATAAACAAAAAAAAACCGTAACAACAATAACAACAAGGTATGATTACCTAAACACTATAAATCATAGATGATCTATATCGAATCAAACAACATCACTTAAATTAAGACGATGAAAATAACTAAAATATATATACAAAGAAATTGTAATAATAACAACGACAACAAGGTATGATCACATAAACACAATAAATCATAAATAATCCGTATCGAATCAAACAATATCACTTAAATTAAGACGATGAAAATAACTAAAATATATATACAAAATAACCGTAACAACAACAGCAACAATAAAATATAATTATCTAAACAGAATCAGTCATAAATTATTCGTATCGAATCAACACATCACTTAAATTAAGACAATAAAATATAATTGGTGTGCACTTGCAGTCTAAATTGACTTATTTTTATCGTTATCCTAAATAAAAACGCCAAATATGCCAACTCAATCCTAGTGTATCACTAGATTAATTATAATCTATTTATTTGTTAGTTTTATTTTTCATCAAAACTAT